TTCAAAAGATTCAGAGCTTCATTTTTTTGGTGCTGGGATTTTCATACCCTTAACCATAGTCCTGCAATCGCTCTTGAATAACTGTCTTGATCCCTCCTCTACTTACACCAGGCCATCCCACTTCTAGACACTCACAAAGCTATCCGAAACTATAAGGCAGAGGTTAATAAATGAAAGGGCTCAGCACCTTTCCTCCAAGAAATCATTGCTAATGTGGGGCTCCTCTTGCAACATAGCATAACTGAGAATTTCAGGGCCTGGCAATATAAAAAGTCCCCAGTGGCCTCATTTCTACATGTCCTCTCCACCCCCAAATAATTGACCCTAAGTTTTTGTTCATTCTTGTCTCATCTTGGCTGATATTAGTGGGGGATAGTCTGACCCAGATGAATGAAACTCTGCTTCCTTGATCATGGATGCAAAGAAACACCACCCCCGCACCTCCTCTGTGCCCAGATAGAGTCACTCAGAGCGTGCAGCTCTCTCCCTCCTCTGACAGCCTGCGCACCATGCTGTAAGAGATGAAACGGATCCGCAAGATGATCCCTGGTATCTCTGGCTACTGTTATTCTTCTGTATCCTTTGGCCTAGGGATCTATTTTAGGCAGGAACTTCTACTCCCTCTCTGTCAGAAACCTCTCTCATCTTTGAACTAGATTTTGGAAGTGTATGAACATCTGGTTTTTGGACTGTGAGTCCCCTTAAGGCTAATAGCATGTCTAATTTTAGCTAATGAATGAATGTTTAATTTATGAGTATATGATGAATGAATAAAACCAGTCTGATGGCTTCATTTTAATCTCATTCCAGGACAAATCTTACTTTCTATATTTCCCCACAAAAACTGATTTTTATTCTCCATTTCAATTGTTTTCATCTCCCCAAAATCTCCAATTATCAGCTCTTCCATGGAAAATTCCTCCTCTACTCTCTATTCTGACTTGTTCATGATCTAGTAGCTTTCTCTAAGGAAGGCTATGTGGTTTCGAGGTTATAAAGCTCAGGCTTCCTGAGTTCAAGTCCTGATTCCTCCATTTGATGGTTGTAACCTCTGTGTGCCTCAGTGTCCCCATTTGTAAATTGGGGCTAATGAAAGACACCATGTTGTGGGGTACTTGGGGGAGGGGTAATGAAGGGTAAAAAAAAGATCATCTATCATAGAGACTGGCAACTGAGGAAAGATTCAATAATGTTGACTGTTAGTAATTTTACTTAAGTAGATAGAAGTTATCACATTATCTAGGTAGGTTGTCCTTTCTTAATGGCCTTGGTCTCAACCAACACTATGGTATGGGGAGAAAATGTATAATTGACGTGTGAGGAAAAATCTGAAAGAATGGGTTGCTGGTGCCAGAAAGCAGGTGCCTGGAAAGTGTAACAGCTCCTCTCGCCCTGCCCGGAACCTGCACTCACATGCCTCAGAGCCTTGAGCCTCCAGATACTCCACCATCTGCTCAAGGTGTGAATTTAGCACGTGGAGAGCTCAGCAAGATTCAGCCTACTTATCAGTGTCTTATTCCCCCTTTCAAAGAAATGAGCATGAAATTATATGACATTTTGGCTGGGAATGGTGGCTCACGCCTGTAATCCTAGCACTTTGGGAGGCTGAGGTGGACAGATCACCCAAGGTCAGGAGTTCGAGACCAGCCTGGCCAACATGGCAAAACCCCTTCTCTACTAAAAATACAAAAATTAGCAGGGCATGGTGGCATATTACCGTGATCCCAGCTACCCAGGAGGATGAGGCAAGAGAATCACTGGAACCTGGGAGGACAGAGGCTGCAATGAACAGAAATTGTGCCACTGCCCTCCAGCCTGGGCAACAGAGCAAGAGTCTGTCTCATAAAAAAAAAAAAAAAGTATATGACATCTTTAAAACTGTGAGGATTTAGAGCTGGGATATCTTTTTTGTTACCTGAGGAGGGAAATGTGCTTACGGGGCTAATACCATTTTAATCTTGGGATAGGTCTGTTTGTCTTCTGGGGCATAGGGAAGAGTGAACACTTTCTCTGCCATAGGTAGAGAACTCTAGTCTTTATTTTCAACTCATACCCCTCACACTACTGTTCGATAATCACCTTTTTCTAGCCATGTAAGCTAGAAATAGTGATCTTTTTTAAAAAACACTTATTTATTATTTTGTATTTTTGAGATGGAATCTTGCCGTGTCATCCAGGCTGGAGTGCAGTGGTGCGATCTCAGCTCACCACAACCTCTACCTCCTGGGTCCAAGTGATTCTCCTGTCTCAGCCTCCCAAGTAGCTGGGATTACGGGCACCTGCCACCAAGCCCAGATGATTTTTGTATTTTTAATAGAGTCAGGGTTTCACCATGTTGGCCAGGCTGGTCTTGAACTACTGACCTCTGGTAATCCACCTGCCTTGGCCTCCCAAAGTGCTGTGGTTACAGGCATGAGCTACCGCACCCGGCCCCCCCTTTCTTTTAACTTTAAAATCCACTTTGACACTTTTAAAATGCCATCAATCTTGGGTATGAAGCTACTGTCCTGACTACCATGATGATTTCCTTCTGAAAGTGTTTTGGAGACATGAAATCATACAAATCACCTTTAAAGTGCAATGTCACTCTGATCCTATCAGGAAACACAGACGTCACTGGATTCCAACTGTGTCAATGCCCTGTTCTTCCTGTCTCTCAATATGCACCGAAACTGTGGGCTAAAGAATTCTTTTTCGTGGTTTCTTTCTCATTTCTGCTTTTTCGATTTTTAGAATGTCTTTGTTTCTTGGTGAGCAGTTATTTCCTGCCGCATGACCATGAGTCATGACCTTATTCTCTTCTTTTGATACAGGAGACAGCTTCATTAATTTACTAACGCATTCGTTCAACAACTAAACTTCTGCAATCCTCGTTTACTCACATACTTTTACAAGAACAAAAGGAGACCCACAAGCTCTTTTCAAACACATGTTTTTGGTCTTCACAACCCAAAAACCTGTATTTGAAACTGAAAATTAAATCATTCCGTGTTTATAGGCGTATTGATTGGTAGAAACATGGAAATCATTACCTGGATTTTTTTTTTTTTGAGACAAGTCTCACTGTCATTCAGGCTGGAGCACAGTGGCGTGATCTCGGCTCAGTGCAACCTCCATCTCCCAGGTTCAAGCAATTCTCCTGCCTCAGTCTTCCGAGTAGCTGGGATTACAGACCCACACCACCACACCTGGCTGATTTCTTTTTTTTTTTTTTTTTAATTTTTAGTCGAGACAGAGTTTTATCATGTTGGCCACACTGGTCTTGAACTCCTGACCTCCAGTGATCCACTGGTTTCAGCCTCCCAAGGTACTGGGATTACAAGCATAAGTCACCAAGCCCAGGCTGAATTGTTTTTTAATCCAATCCAATTCCATATTTTCCTCTAGAGAGACTGACTCATCAAGCCTATCTCCTTTTCCTGGAAACACAATCAAATTAACATCCCAGTCACCACTGCATTTCAGGTGGGGCCATATGAGTAGTTCTCACCAGTGGAATGTAGTGAAAATGAGATGCCGTCTCTTGGGGACGAAGGACGTGTTTCCTCTGCTGACATTTGCTGACTGGATGATGCTAGATGATCTTGAAACCCTGTGCTGAAGACTGAAGAACGGCAGTGGTGTCTCTGAATTATGTAGAAGGCCACTTGTCTAGCATCTGATGCCTCCTGAGTACGTTGTTAGGGATCTGGGATCGTCTGATACAGCAGTTAGGAGGCCCTGAATGACATAGCCCTCCTACTCTTTAAGTTGAACAAATCAGAGACTGCAGTGTTTGGGTAGCCTTGCTGTGTGGGGCTTCAGAGGAGATCTACAATCCTCCTACCATTTACTCTGTCTTCATGTGAAGTAATAAAACCTGTAATTCCTTCATCTTCAGCAGAACAGGAAAAGGGGCTCAAAGCCGCAAACACACCTTTGCTGCTCACCCACAGTGACGAGTTCATGAGCCTGGCAAGAGCTCTTCCTATTTGAGCATTTTATGAATACAGAAGCATGGGCGCCCTGGTGTGACTCAATGTCAGAATCCAAACAGGGCATCTGTCCCTAGCCCTTTCACTTCTTTTAGATCATTCAATATACATAATCTGTTTTCTTTCAAAATAGCATGGTTATCTAATTCCCTTCATTAGCAGGTAGTGAAAGAGGCCCCGGGCTTCCCATGACCTCATTCGCCGCGTCCCTGAGCTCATTTCGGGTTTTCCTTCTCACTCTTGTGACAGACACAATCTCACTTCTTTAATGTAAAGGTTTTTCTGCGGAAATGTGCTTCCTGTTTCCCCTCCATAACTTCCAGGCGTGACTGCCTGGGTCTCCTGTCATTATTCCCAGCCCACTGCCTCTTCATATCCAGGGGGACCTCTGTCTTCAGGAGCCTCCTTCACTACTGTTCCCTGGAAATTTATCTCAGATCATTTTCTTCTGGGTCCATCTCTTCTTTAAGAGAAATAATTTTAAAGACAAAGCTCCATAATGGAGATCTGTGTCTCTTTCCCACCACCTGTTTTCTGACCCTCCCCTCCTGGTTCAAGCCCCTGCAGGATGATTTGAACACAAACCATCGACCGCCAACTGAAATCAAACAAGATGATGTCCAATTTGCCCTTTTTTCTCTCTCATTTGTCCCAGTGTTTAGACTTCTCCAACAATCAATGAACAAATCCCTTTGGTACACTGTGCCAGGAACTTCGATGGGCGAACAGAAGAAATATAAGCAAGCTCACCAGCAACTTAGGAGGCTCACTTACACAAGCCATTCAAAAGTAAGGCACCATCCCCTAGTGCGTACAGAAAGTGCATTCAGAATTGCAGAGGGGAGAGGTCAACGTGTCCTAGAGCCAAGGGAACATTTAGTAAAGATGGGATTTAGCCGTTAAGGACCGTTAAGCTAGAGCCGTAGGAAGGACAAACATTTCCTGTGCAGAGAATCACAAGAACAAAGGCACAGGAGCAGGAATATTAATCACAGCCCCGGTGGGTCTGGTTCATCATGCACCTACCACATGCCTCGCACCATGCCTGCCGTCCTTTGCACTCCTCATATCCGATGCTCACAGCAATCCTGAGACTACCAGGCGGGTATTTTACAAATACAAGAAGTCAGTTTTAGAGAAATGCTAAATGGCAGAATCAGGATTTCATGTCTGCACTTCATTCACTGCATGGGAAGGCGATGGTGGTCAGGAAGGTGCCGCTCTGTGAGCAGAAGGCGGTCACCGAGGCGGGTGGGCGGAGCTGTGAGCAGAAGGCGGTCACCGAGGCGGGTGGGCGGAGCTGTGAGCAGAAGGCGGTCACCGAGGCGGGTGGGCGGAGCTGTGAGCAGAAGGCGGTCACCGAGGCGGGTGGGCGGAGCTGTGAGCAGAAGGCGGTCACCGAGGCGGGTGGGCGGAGCTGTGAGCAGAAGGCGGTCACCGAGGCAGGTGGGCGGAGCTTTGTTATGGGGATTTGGTAAGCAGCTGGAATTGCCGTCTATGTTTTAGCAGAGAAATAGGATGACAAAGTTTACTCAGACAAAATCCGAGTTCAAGGCCATGTTCTGTGTTAGCCGTGTGACTGGGAATCATGGTTAAACCTGCTGAGATGCTGTTTCCTTCTCTATAAAATGTGTTCAACAGCAAGATCAATGTATAGCATGGAAAGGCTTACATGAGATACCTTTGACTGAAGTACCTATATTACAGATGTTGTTGATGGAAATAAGGATGGCACTCTGGACAGTGTCACATCATTCAGATACTTCCTGAAGACATGAAATGAGACGGCATAGGTAGGTAGGTAGGTACATAAATAGATATAGATATATGCCATTTGGTTATACATACGTAACCAAAACTTGACTCTGGAAATATAGATGGATATAGAGGTGAATTAGAGGCTGGAATAAAGAGAGAAGACCAGAGGACGAGGATTGACACACCCGGGGTGCCCACAGTTGGGGAGTGGGACACGGGAGAGAGTCAGTGACAGATACAGGAAAAAGCAGAGGAAGAGGTAAGATGGTGACATAGGCCACAGCAGTCAGGTGACAGGAAGGGGTTCCTGCAAAGGCCAGGGACGTCTATTGCGCCCAGGGCTGCTGCGGGGAGAAAAGATTGAGGACTAGGAAGAGGCTTCTGCCTTTGGGGCAGTGATGACATAGAACCCAGTCTGGGAGGAACCAGGTGGGAATGAAGGACGTCGGTCACAGCCACAGGTCCTGCCCATTCATCTGAGATGCGAATACACAGAGAGAACTCGGCTGGGGCTAGAAGTGGTAGCCATGCAAAGCGGGAGGTTATTTTTAGTTCTAGGAGAGGCCAGTACCGCTGATAATCCTGAGTGAGCTTCAGTTCAAATCTGCCCCTTACTATGGCACAATTCTTCATGGGCTGCTACCTGAACCTGCCTGCTCTTCCCATGGCTATGGCCACAGAGAAGGTGCGAGTTAGTTTTGCACTTAGTTTGGCTTCTGTTAACTCTTGTTTTGCCCTTCAGGTCTCATCGTTGCCACCCCACTCATCAACCTGATCTGTTTGACCCCAATCCCACCATTTTGGATGACGTTACAGATCCTATGAGCTTTAACAAGCTCCAAGATTGTCTGTTTCTCCTCCTAAGGTGTCCCCAGGAATGAAGATTCTTTCACCTAGTTTATTTTTTTCTGGTTTGACACATGTGTCTGAAAAAATGATAGCAATTATTATTATTATTATTTTTTTTTTTTTGAGACGGAGTTTCGGTCTTGTTACCCAGGCTGGAGTGCAATGGCGCAATCTCGGCTCACCGCAACCTCCGCCTCCTGGGTTCAGGCAATTCTCCTGCCTCAGCCTCCTGAGTAGCTGGGATTACAGGCACGCGCCACCATGCCCAGCTAATTTTTTTGCATTTTTAGTAGAGACGGGATTTCACCATGTTGACCAGGATGGTCTCGATCTGTCGACCTCGTGATCCACCCGCCTCGGCCTCCCAAAGTGCTGGGATTACAGGCTTGAGCCACCGCACCCGGCCTAGCAATTATTATTATTATATTGTAGGATTCACTTCTCTTAAACACATTCAAAATGCTTCTTCCTCTCTTCCATCATGATTGTACCAAACTGTTACCCGACTACCCAGCTGTGTCTTGGAGCTGTATGATTCCATCATGAGTTGTACTCAACTGTTTCCCAGCGTATCCTGGAGCATGCACCAGGAACAAACTCCCTGACTCAGCCCACTTGGCAAGTAATTCTTAGACACACACTTTTAAACTGAAACACTGGAATTCAGAGCCACTGTCAACTGAGAAAGCTGATGATGCAGCAGGCTGGCAGAAAGTGAAAGGAAAGCAAGGCTATTTAACTGCCATTACGTCATCCAAAATGGTGGGACTGGGTTCAGACACAGATCAGGTTGATGAGCGGGGTGTCAACAGTGAGACCTGAAGGAGAAAACAAGGGTTAACATCTCAGTTAACCTTTCCTGCAGTTACCTCTGTGTATCCTGTGCTGGTGACGGGTGGGTGGCCTTTGTGCAAACCTTTCTCCACAAAGCTTGTCTAGTTGAAGTTCTCTAAATCCCACCCAGTTAAGCACAGGACTTTCATGGTCACGTCCCATTCATTCCTTTCTCAAATGTGCTTAATGCATTTTATCTCCAGCTACAAACATTGTCTGCTAATGAGCAACGCAGGTAGTTACCACGCTGCGTAGTTTACCTATTTCCCTTCTGCTGTTGGTTTTATCCAATAAACTAGACTGATCGGCTTCATTTTATATCACCTTGTCGCTTACAGATTAGAAACTGTACCTAATTCAGCCTGTCTAATTGGAGGTAACTCTGGACTGCAGCATTTCTGCACAACGTCGTATGGAAAATGGCACACGTAAATTTTTTTATGCGTTAATAATGATTGTGATCCCATTCCTGCTCTCTACAAGCTCTTCTGTTATGGTGGCAATTAACTAGCCTCACTTTCCTGTCACTTTCTGCAAACCTGCTGCAGTCGTCGTTAACTTTCTCAGCTGGCAGTGGCTCTGAATTCCAGTCTTTCAGAGAGTTCCCGTAAAGAGCTTCTTTCTTAATACTTACAGCATAATGTTTTCCCCCTTTCCTTGCATTTCCTTCTGCCTTTGGGCGGGTACATCATTTCAAGCTCTTCTGGGGTTTCAACACTGACTTCGAAGCGCCCTTGTTCATCTCACTGGGAGACTCTGCAGCCAGTCAGGGATTTGCATTAATCCCACCCGCTCTTCCCCAGCACAGGATACGAAGACATAACTGCAGTGACTCTTGGCGACTAGTCTGTGCTGCACACCCTCCACCCTACCGCCAAAAAGCTCCCCAGTACCGTAAAAGGGACTCTGGACTCAAACATCACCTCGGATAAGACGAGGTCTTTCTGAGAGAAGGGAGATGTTGGCGCACGAGCGGGACGGGATAGGAGAGGCTTATTATGAAATGCAATTCTAGGCTCCTGTGCTTTCCAACGGGGGGATGGTGCAGTGATTCCTGACTGGTCCACAGCCATATATCGATCGATGTTAAAATGCTAATTTGAATTGTAAATCTCTTAAAAGAAGGGGAAAAGCTAAGGAGATAACATTTAACAGGGCGAGTCCTGAATTTAGATTCTGAACAAACGTCACAAGTACTAGAAGGCAGGGGCTGGCAGCAGGACTTGCTGTCATGTTTAGCTGGCCATGGTCAGTCTGAGACTGCAGCAGGTGTGATCATGTAGCAGCTATAGAAAGCTTATGCCGCATTTAATAGTAGCAGTGATACGTTAAAGTGTTTCAGTTATGAATGCATTCTGACCGGAAGAGTAACTTGCACCAGCTTAACGGTTAAATAGCAAGAAGCGTGGAGAAGTGGCTGCTCGCCGTGCCTCAGCAGCTCAGCAGTGTCTCTAGGACCCTCTTAGCCTCTTCCTGCTGCTTGCCACCTCTCAGTCACAAGACAGCTGCTGTGACGCAGGCTCATGCCCTAATTCAAGGCAGCAAGAAGGCGATGGAGTGGTACCTGGCAGTGACGTCCCTTTCCCAGGCATCCCCAGGTGCGAGGCTGGCCTGCAGAGTCAACGCTTGCGCCTTCCAATACCGACATGGGTCGTGGACAAGAAGAAAGGGACGTGGGTTCAGGAGACCAATAGTGCCAGGCCTTTACTTGTATCGTCTCTGATCCCCACAGCAACCCTGAGGAGCAGCTATTTATTATCCTTATGGAGCAAATGAAGAAAATCAGAACCAGCAACATCAAGAAAAAATGGGGAAAGACATACACTGGTAAATAGTAAAGCCAGGGTTCCAATTCAGAGCAGGTCGAATCCAAAATTCCTCTCCCTGCCATTACGACCCATCATAGTGTTCGGTTCATGTGGGCCTGGGAAGGATAAACCATAATCAACCATCCCACCACATTTTTGGCCATTTTTTTCTTTTCTTTTTTTAGAAAGAAAGAAAAAAAAAGGAGTGAAGGAGAGGAAGAAAGAGGAAGAAAAAGAGGGAGAGAAAACGGGAATGTAGCTTTATTATAAAAATGTGTATTAATAATGGCTGATCAATATTATGTTTATTTAAGTTGGAGAATGTATATTTTGTGTATTTAAAATGGAGAGCTCTATAAATATTTATTGAGTTTACTTGTTCCGGATCTGAGTTCAAGTCCTGGATATCCTTATTAATTTTCTGTCTTGTTGAGTCTAAATCTCTTTATGGGTCTTATGTATCTGGGTGTTAGGATCGTTAGTTCTTATTGTTGCATTGATCCTTTTACCACTATATCTTTGTTGCTTTGAAATCTATTTTATCAGATGCGAGAATTGCAACTCCTGCTTTTTATTTATTTATTTATTTTTGCTCTCCATTTGGTTGGTAAATCTTTCTCCATCCCTTTGTTTTGAGTCTTTGTGTATCCCTGCACGTGAAATGGGTCTGGATGTAACATGCCGTTGGGTTTTGGCTGTATCTTTTGATTGGGGGATTTAGTCGATTTAAATTTAGGGTTACTGCCCTTTGATGTTAACTGGCTGTTTTATCCATTCGTTGATGTAAATTCTTCTTTATGTTGATGCTCTTTACTTTTTGGTATATTTTTAGAAAGGCTAATACTGGTTGTTCCTTTCTATGTATAATGCTTCTTTCAGAAGCTCTTGTAAAGCAGGCCTGGTGGTAATAAAATCTCTGAGTACCTGCTTGTTCATAAAAGACTATTTTTCCTTCAATTGTGAAGCTTAGTTTGGCTGGATATGAAATTCTGGGCTGAAGGTTCTGTTCTTTGAGGATGTTGAATATTGGCCCCCACTCTCTTCTGGCTTGTAGAGTTTCTGCTGAGAGATCTGCTGTAAGTCTGATAGGCTTGCCTTTGTGGGTAACCTGACCTTTCTCTCTGGCTGCCCTTAGTATTTTCTTCTTTGTTTCAACCCTGGTGAATCTAACAATTATGTGCCTTGGGGTTGCTCTTCTTGAGGAATATCTTTGTGGTGTTCTCTGTATTACCTGGGGTTGAATATTGTGCTGCTTTGCTAGATTTGGAAAGTTTTCCTGAATAATACCCTGAAGAGTTTTTCCAGCTTGAATTCATTCTCTTCATCGTATTCAGGT